AGGAGTCGAGGTTCTTGAGGTCCTGTTAAGTCGAGAGATATGGAATTGAGATTGTTAGCTGGGATGAACTGGTCAAATATTTTATGCCCAAGATGAAACCGAGTTCCATTGAGATCAAGAGAGATGGTGTTCATTCGAAGAAGAAAATGCATTAAATTGTATAATTACATGCATTTTAGGCATGAATAGGATCATGTCATCCATAATTGCATGATGACTTAAATATCTACAGGTTTCACAGGGATAGTTGAAGATTGAAGATATTGAAGTATCGAGATGAAGATAACTGGTTTTGAGATCTTGACAAGAATGATGTTTATACGAAAACTGAGCCAAAGCAGATTCACGTATCCAATGGCTTCCAGACAAGTTTTCACGATGGAGATGGATTTTTAGAAATTTTCTCAAATTCTAAATTTTTGAATATAATATTTTCAAGCATATGTTCATGATTGATAATGTTTGATTTTCAGGTTTGACCTTCGAAACAATTTAATCTTAAGCCTTTACGGAAGAGTAGTGAAGCAAATCATATATAAGCCTTCACGGAAGAGTAGTGAAGCAAACTCGTTTTATGAAGATTTTTCGAGTTCTATACTCCCTGAACGAATAGGGAGCGGACCCGTTTGTTGAAGATTGTTCGAGTTCTATACTCTCTGAAGGAATAGAGAGCGAACCTGTTTATGAAGATTTTTCGAGTTCTATACTCCCTGAACGAATAGGGAGCGGACCCGTTTGTTGAAGATTGTTCGAATTCTATACTCTCTGAATGAATAAAGAGCGGACCCGTTTGTTGAAGATTGTTTGATTTCTATACTCTCTGAAGGAATAGAGAGTGTACCCATTTTATGAAGATTTTTTGAGTTCTATACTCCCTGAACGAATAGGGAGCAGACCCGTTTGTTGAAGATTGTTCGAGTTCTATACCTCTGAAGGAATAGAGAGCGGACCCGTTTGTTGAAGATTGTTCGAGTTCTATACTCACTGAAGGAATAGAGAGCGGACCCGTTTTATGAAGATTGTTCGAGTTCTATACTCCCTGAACGAATAGGGAGCGGACCCGTTTATTGAAGATTGTTTGAGTCTTACACTCCCTGAATGAATAGGGAGCAGACACATTTGTTAAAGATTGTTCGAGTCTTATACTCCCTGAAAGAATAGGGAACAGACTCGTCATTTGAAGATTTTTCAAGTATCACTTATGTCGAAGTAACAATGGAGTGGTTTAATCTTTTGAAGTTCTCATGACCGGACAAACTCGATCATCTTTTGATCTTTGCTCTATTCTCGTTACACGACAATGAGTAAAGAGGGGCAGCTATAGATGCTCGTTTTTGTCCGGAGGCTTCGTATCCAGTACACGATACAAATTTGGACCAGGGAAAGCCTAAATCAGCCCAAACAACATGTTATCCTAGCCTCAGTCACGTGAATTCCTGCAAAACAAAAACGATTATCCAGCAGGAATGAGAGAAGCATGTTTGATTGTGGGTGGGATACTAAACTGTAAGTTGGTTTTTAATTTGTAATTAACCACTAGATAAGGTGGGGGTCAGTTTTTAATGGGATTAACCACTGAAAACGGGGGATATCAGATTATCAGGAAAAAATACACAGACAGAGAAAAAAATTGAGAAAAGGGAGCACACGCAAAAAAGAAAAAAAAAACAGAGACCATTTGCTGGGAAAGCCGAAGAACACAATAACAAAAGAACGGGGAAATCGTTTGCTTTTTTTCAGAACAAAGCAAATATAAAAGAGCATGTAAACAACTAGCAAATTGGAAATTCAAATCTTGTAAGATTTTCTTTCCATGATTATTTACAATTACATTTTTGTTATATTTGTTTTAATAGCTTTCATAATAAATTCAAAATAAAAGGAACAAGGTGGATCGAATTTACCTTCGATTTTAGGCTGCGTTCGAAATAATTAAGTTGTAGGTGCCTGATTCTTAGCGTCAAGGTTGTAACGTTGTCGGAATAGGGGTTAAAATGTTGAGAGTCTTTTGTATAACCTACATATAGTTCAAATTGTAGTCTTTAGAGTATAAAAATAGGGGTTTCAAGATAGAAAAAATAAAAAAATTTGGTATGTTACCTGACTGGTTCGAGTTTACTGTCAAAGTAGAGAGGTCGATAATTGTTGGGTCCCTTCGTCAGAAATGTAAAGTAGTCGCAGTCGAGAGAATTCCATATTCAAACTTCATCGTAGTTTCATTTTTTAAGCTTTGGGTCTGTAATTTAGAAAAAGAGGAGAACGTGTTTGAGCCTAGCCAATGATGGAACTCGGGTGAATGTTGGACATTGAGGCTCTCGGCAGCTATGTGAGCACTAAGAAGATGAGTGGAGATATGCTTGGGCGAGCTGCAGTGTGCGTGAGATAGAATTGAGAGATGAGGCGCGACAGACTATTATTTTAGAAGGATGTAGTTTAGGTTTAGTTTAAGTTAGGTTATATATTATAATTTTAGGGTAAATTAGGTTCTAGTCCCCCATATTTAGGCGTCTTTCCATAAATTAGCCACCCGAGGGATTAATTTTTAAATTTGACCCTTTTTTTTGTTTGACCCGATTTCATCATTTTCCGATTTTATTTTTAGTTATAATTTTGTTTAATTATTTAGGTGTAGATCCCTTATATTTATGCATGTTTTTATTTAAATCCCTAGTTTATTTTTGATTTGTATGTTAAATTTTAGATTTATTTAATTTTGTCACTTTTTAATATGTACATATATATATTTTAATATATAGTTTAGCATGTTATGATTTTGTTTTTATATTTAGGTCACATGTATACATAATATGTTAATATGCATATTTTATGATTTTTAATTAAAACCTACTTATATAATTTTTTGTATGTCACGTTGTATGATATTTTTAATTTTGTTTAATTAATTTTTGGCATGACATACTTTTTGCACAATTTTTATGATATCCTCATTTGCATAACTCGATATATTACATAATTGGATTAAGGGTAATACACTTTTAATTTTAAATTATTTTAAGTGGGTTGTCATAACGCATTTGAGGTCCGTTTTTGATGATTTTAAAATAAAAGTGTATCCCATTAGTGACGCCTAAAAATTGATCAATCACTTTAAAATTTGAGAATGGAAGAAAAAGAAATGTTCGACTATTTAAATTTATCGAGAAAATGTTGTTATAACTTTTAAGATCTATTCTCGATTCTAAAATGACTTCGTAATTTTAATTTAATTTATTTGGGTGCTTTTGAATATTATTAAATTTACATATTTGTTTTATGAGATCAAAAATCAAATTAAGTTCGAATTTGTAAAGTTCATTGTAAAGCCGTTAATTAATCGACTAGTACCGATTTAGGGCGTTGTGGGGGTGCTAATCCTTCCCCACACGTAACCGACTCTCGAACTTATTTTTTGGTAACATAAACCTCAATTTGTTGTTTTAATTAAAATTAATTTTTATTTAAAATGACAAAACGTTTTTTGGTGCCCAATCACACCCTAATCAAATATTGGTGGCGACTCTTTAAACCGTATTTTTTGATCGTAAAGAAAATCTAAAATTTTTTAAAACAAAAGATATTTTAAATCACGTTTATTTTTATATTTAAAAAAATTTAAAAATTAATGTAAATTTTAAAATTTCACGAAAAAAATCGTTTCAACAAATAAGGCTTGAATTTATCCTATTCTCTAATAATTCATATCAATTATAAGAGATCATGAATTATCCAAGAAATGTCCCTTCAAAGGAACTATTCGCATTGGGAAGGGACACCTAGAGGCCGACATTTGTAGATTTTTATTAGGAAATCGCACAAATACCAAGGAGCAAAGATATGGGAGAAATTCGAATAGGATTTACTTGAAGATCACGTGCGGAAATTCAAAATTCCCCCTTAAGAAAGGTCACATGCTTGAACTCAAAAAGAAAATGTGTAATTGGATCAAGACTGAATCTCAAGAATTGAAGTTCACCACAACTATTAAAAATAAGGTGTGGATTTTTGTCTTAGTTTAAGCCTGAATCAAGAAGCTAACGATAAGTGGTAGGAAGACCAATTGGACAAAACTAGTCAATTGGTACAATCCTAAGGATGTATGGGAAAGGAAAATTTCTAATGGGATTGAATTGAACCTACGACATTGAAATTCCATTATTAAATTTGGATTCAATTGAAGGTAAATGGAAAGATAATTTTTAGATTATTGATTTACCTAGATGTGAAGTAAAGATCAAAGGTACTAAGTTTGAAGCGAAAAGAAATCATGTGCAAGATTCTAATCAATTCTTCTAATTTAAGGGACTTGGGGGAAAGTCCAAGTGGTGAAGGAATAGAATTGAATTCTATCACTTCTCATTACAATTTATTGCAACCAAAATTCGGGTGGATGATTGATAAAAAGGAACTGGAAGAAGTGGAGATAAGGAGAATGACATATCAAAGAATAATTATCATATAATAACATTTTCCAAATAGTCCCAAATAGGTGAAAGTCGAATTGAATCATGTAGGAATTAGGGTGAAGTATAGTAATGGTCACAAATTTTTTTTAAATATTTCATTTAGGTCTCCTAACTTTTAAAACTTACAATACAATCTTTCAATATTTAGTCTGTTTGCAATATGATCCCCCAACAGTTACGTTAGAGATGATATTGCAAACGGATTAAATATTGAGGGACTATATTGCAAACGGACTAAATATTAAAAAATTATATTGTAAATTTTAAAAATTAAGAGACCTAAATAAAATCTTTAAAAAAAATTTAATGACCATTACTATACTTTACCCTTTTATTTATTTATTCTATAATTAGAAGCTACCTTCTTCCACCATGTTATATTATTAACTTAAAATTCCTCTGCTTTGAACAACCCATTGTTTCTAATCACTCGGTCTTTAATCAATATTTAAAAAGCAATAAATGATCCACGTAGAATACGCAGAAAGTTAAATACAAAGAACTGTTCATATTTATTGATTAAAATGAATACACCATAGTGCTAATGTACAGACTTATGAACATGCAAGAAAATGATGCTACTTGAGCCAGGAGTGCAAGGGGATTTGAATTATTTCCAGTTGAAAGTCATGTTGCTCGAACTCCTCATTTCTCTTGAAGCATTCGTGTTCCATATTCACTTCTAACACAAGGATATAGAATCTCCGATGATCTTCCAAATCCGAATAACATATGTTGAAAGAATCCACCATGAAAAGCACAGTGAAGGCTGAACATATTATTATCACATCTCTACTTCATTTTCTTCCCTGTGCCTGGTCCCGGACGCAAGCTTTCCATCATTCATTTCCAATCAAGCATGTCTAATAGCTACAATATCTCTTCTCTAGAATTGGCAGCATCACAAAAGTCCAGCTCAATGCCAAAAACATTCATGACACCGTTGTTTCCATCTTCTGTGAAGAGCAAGGAGATCCATGCCCGGATTCCCGAAATAAAGGGATAATAGGGAGAGAAGACAAGGTAGTCGAAAGCTAGAGCCCTGGAAGCTGTACGATCTATGTAATCAAACAGTGGTTTATTAATTATACAAGCAACTTTATTCGAGTCCTTCCGCCCCACGAGCACTGAAACACTAACAGTCTGGCTCCAAGGAACAGTGAAACTTGGGTCAACAGTTAAGCTCATCTTGTACTCGGGACTCTCGAGATGAAACTTGAGCATGTCGCAAATTCCAGCAGGTAGGATCTTGATTCCTCCCTGGAGGACAGGACCAGGGACAACACCAGAGAAAATCAATTTATCTTCACTCCAAATGTCAATGTAGAATTCCAAGTCATCGAAGGAAAGTCTTGGAGGGAGAAGTGTTTGCTGATGCTGCCGTTTATAGAACGATTGATACAGTTTATAGTAGGTTACGGTGGGAGGATGGGCCGTTTGCAAATCAAAGGCCATCTCTTTGCACATACACATTTCCAAAAGTAATCATCTTTAGCTATGCATCTCCAATTCTTACAAACCACCATACAAGCTGCAAGGTCTACGCCATCTAAAAAGGGAAAAACAACCTTGAAAACTTCTTCTAAAAACAATAAAATTGTCAGAGCATCAATGGATCGATATTAAGCTCAAAACATGAATGTTGCACATACTTTTTTACAGCAAGATGTCCGTATCATGGTGCCTTAAACATCAAATGATGCATTCAACAGAAAAGATGATATATTGGGTATTGCAACCGTGTTCAAAACTAAAACATTATTTCAGGAAACAAGGTCTGTCCTAAACAAGTCTGTGAACGGATAAGAAAGACAAATTCTCTTCCCGAACAATGTATTTTACTTGAAAACAACCAGACTGGATCAATAACCTCTAAATGCAATGGAATTTGTACAATGTCAACTTCATAGACACCGAAACAAAAATCTATGATCTTAGACCTGACTCGATTAACTTTACCACTAGCCAGATACATCATACACAAATGCACAGAAAAAAACACACACATAAAGTGATTTTAAAGCATTCAATTTACCAAAACTAACACTTCAATGACATAATAATTCGCCAATTCGAGGTTGAGCACGATTATTCTATGCCAATTTGGGGTTGACACGACTATTCTACGCCGTATAATTCCTTTCGAGCTCTACAATTCAAAAATATTAAACCTCAAAAACTAAGATAATTCTGAGCTCAAATTTTCCAGCAGAACCCAAGTTTACTTCAAACAACTAAAACAAAACCCAAATTCAAATTCCACCCATATTCATAAATATAACCCTAGAAATAGTACATCGAGAGAAAAAAACATAACTTTGACTAAATGTAAAACAGACCCAGAAACAAAAACAAACCCTACCATTACATGATATGTAAAAAATCCAAACTTTCTAATTCATACGCGAAAATTTCACCAAAAAAGAACGAAAACGGAGAAAAAATAGAAATCAACAAACCACAGATGGAGAAAAAAAAAGGCAACGAAGCTAGGAGGAGATTCGCAGCATATTAACTAGTAAGAGTTATTATTTACCTGATTTATTGGTGGAATTTGGAGAGATATTTCAGGAGATGTGATTTTTGGTCTCTTATTATTTATAGGGTAATGTATAGGAATGGTTATTGAATTTTTTTAAATATTTTATTTAGGTTTTTAAACTTATAATACAGTCTTAAATATTTAGTTCATTTATAATATGGTCTTTCAGTAGTTATGACGGGGATCATATTACAAACGGATTAAATGTTGAAGGACTATATTATAAACGGACTAAATATTGAGGGACTATATTACAAATAGACTAAATATTAAAAAATTATATTACAAGTTTTAAAAATTGAAGGATCTAAATAAAATAATTAAAAAAATTCAATGATTATTATTATATTCTACCCTGAAATTATAAACAATTCCCCCTCGGGAATCCCATTTCTCACGTGAAATTTCCATTTGGAGATATTAGGAAACTAGTTTGCTTGGCTCTTATCCCCAAAGGCTAGATTGAGAAAGGTTTGGAAAACTCAAATCAGTCATTATTGGAAAATTTCGTCAATCCATCAATGAGAACGAGTGGAGAGAATGATGAATTTCTATCTTCTCTAGGAAGCAAAGGATATTAAATCCACCCAGCCAAAAGAAATAACTCATTAGAAAACCTCTTAAGATATCATTTCTTCAAGCTTTAAGTGCTTTATATGAGATTGACTCAAGGTGGATTAATATATAGTTAATATATGTTGTTATTAGATATATTAAAATATATTTAAAAAATTTGGTTTAGCGTTATCATAAATATCGAGTAATAATAATGTAATAGGTGGAAATTATGAAGAAATATTAAAAAATTTGACAACCGACAAACTTAACTTGTCGGTTTGTGTCGATATTTTATAAAAATATATTGATCCATAACAATATAACAGGTAAAAAATGACAAAACCGGTTTATAAATGACAAAACAGGTAAAACGCTACCAGATATATTGAAAGTGTCGATACTTTATAAAAATGTATCGATCCATAACAATATAATAGGTAACAAAATGAAAAAACCGGTTTATAAATGACAAAACAGGTAAAGCGCTACCGGATATATTGAAAGTGTCAATACTTTATAAAAATGTATCGATCCATAACAATATAACAGCTAAAAAAATGACAAAACCGGTCTATAAATGACAAAACAGATAAAGCGCTACCGGATATATTGAAAGTGCCGATACTTTATAAAAATATATCGATCCATAACAATATAACAGGTAAAAAAATGACAAAACCGGTCTATAATTGACAAAACAGGTAAAGCGCTACCAAATATATTGAAATTGTCGATACTTTATAAAAATGTATCGATCTATAAAAATATAACAGGTAAAAAAATGACAACTGGTCTATAAATAACAAAACAAGTAAAGCTCTACCGGATATATTGAAAGTGTCGATACTTTATTATAAGTATCAACACTTTTGGAATTTAAAAGAGAAGAAGTTATAGCGCTAATAAAGTGTCGATACTTTATAAAAATGTATCGATCCATAACAATATAACAGGTAAAAATATGACAAAACCGGTATCGAAATGACAAAACCGATAAAGAGCTACCGGATATGTTGAAAGTGTCGATACTTTATTATAAGTATCGATACTTTTGGAATTTAAAAGAAAAAAAGTTATAGCGCCAATAAAATGTCGATACTTTATAAAAATGTATCGATCCATAATAATATAACAGGTAAAAATATGACAAAATTGGTCTCAAAACGACAAAACCTGTAGTAAAAAAGTGTGCTTGTGTGGTCATTTTTATTTCAGAATTTTCATTTTTTAATACAAAAAGTTGGATATTTTAAGCAAAACCCAGTAAGAAAAGAATAAAAACTTTGCAGTAACAAAAGAATAACATTGGGAAACCCACCATGTTATCAGTTTCTCAAAGAACAAAAACCCAGAAACAGGTAAATTTACAATGTAACCGGTAAAAATATACTAATTAATTAGCAAATAGGTTTACATTATGTATCGACACTCTTTAAATATGTGTCGATAATTTTTTTCCAAAATGAAAGCACAACAAGGTGCATGCATAAAGTGTGATATATTTAAAATTGTATCAGTCCCAAAAATATCAAAACCGATAATTATAATGTAATAGGTAAATTTGCAATGTTATCGGTTTAAATATACCTGTTGAGTTAAAAAATAGATCAATATAAGTGCTACCTATTACATTATATAACCGCTACCTAATATATTATTGTACTTGATAATATTTCCGGTTAAATGATATAACATAACCGATCTAAATTTTAACCGACCACTTATTTAACAGGACACGCCGTTTTTTAACAGTTTTTTAGGTGTCGCATAGTAGAAGTTCCCGCTCTCTCTTCCTATTTCATTGTAGTTTTCACAATGATGGGTCTGTTATCCTACATCTGTCACTTTACCTGCAAATTATAAGTCATGGCAGAAGAATTTCTTCATCTATTCAACCAACTTTCATTCATGGAAGAGGAGACAACGGTGTTTGAAACACTGAGAGTTATTCGAGATGAAAACCTTGATGAAATGGACGAGTGGATGGTGGGTAAGTTAATAGAGAAAATCGTCTCAGTATCTAAAAATGTCTTATAATATACGATTTTAACCAACTTTTTTTGGATTTGCCAAAATGACCAACAAAATCGCAATGCGAAATAAAAATCGCAACGCGATCTCCAGAATCGCAAATCAGTTCCCAGAATCGCAATGCGATTATGAAGAATCGCAATGCGATAGTACAAATTCGCATTGCGATTTTCCAGAATCGCAACGCGAATATAAAAATCGCAACGCGAACATATAAATCACAACGCGATTCTGACTATCGCAACGAGTATCCGTAAAATCGCAATGCGTATCCGTAAATCGCAACAACAATACGTAAAATCGCAACGCGTATCCGTAAATCGCAACGAGAATACGTAAATCGCAATGTGTATCTGTAAATCGCAACGAGAATACGTAAATCGTAATGCGTATCCGTAAATCGCAACGACATACGTAAAATCGCAACGCATATCCGTAAATCGCAACGCGATTTTTAAAGCGCCATTAGAATCACTACGCGTATTTTATTTTCAAATTCCAAACACGAATATTAATTATCGAAACACTGAACCGTCCACAGTATATCCCATAATCGCAACTCATAACGTAAAACCTAAAATCACAACTCAGTCTCATCTCCATCTCTCACTCTCTACGGCGAAATCCGTCCCCATCTCCGGCAAAATCCCTTACAACCATTCACGGTCAGAAATCCCTCACAATCATTCAGAAATGGAAAATCAACCTCCGAGGGTTAGTTTTTTTAATTATTTTTATTTTGAAATTTTTGCATTATTTTAGGTTTTTCATATTGAAATTGATGATAAGTTTACTGGTAATTTCAATAATAGATTAACCATTTCACTTAGATTTCTTATTAAATTCATTCGATTGCTGCCAATACTGCTAAACTGTTTAGTCTTTAACCCTGTGAAGTTAGTATTTGTCTTTGTTTTGTCTTTTGGTTGAAGTAATGCAATCCATTAAAGTTTCAATTTGCAGAAGAATAATAGTTTCTAAACTTAAAATCGCAACATGAAAATGAAAATCGCAACACGAAAATGACTATCGCAACGAGAGAAATGAAAATCGCAACGCGAAATGAAAATCGCAACGAGATAATCGCAACGCGAAACCAAAATCGCATTGCGATTTTCATTTCGCGTTGCGATTCTCTCGTTGCGATAGTCATTTCCGCGTTGCGATAGTCATTCTCTTGTTGCGATTTTCATTTCAACCAAAAGACAAAACAGTGTTGCAAATTTTAGTTTCAAGAATAAACTACTACTCTTTATGTTTATTATTTTTGGTATATCTTCACAGTGTAGTTTTTGGTATATCTAACTTAGTATGTTTATTGTTTTTGTAGAAATTTTTTCGGCTTCATTGACATTAAGGAATAAAGTTAGCCTAGCCACTACAATTGCTTCGAAGCTTTCACCTGCACAAAGAAAAATGTTTGAGGAAACCTGCTTCGGGCCATGGCTGAGAGTACATCATCCGGGTGGAAATGCTAATTTGACCCATTTGTGGCTTCAGACCATGACTAGCGATCTACCCAAAAGTATACAACGTGGTGAGGAAGAGATATGGTTTCATTTTCCACCGGCGTATACTTGTTTTGGGCGGAAGGAGTTCTGCTTAATCACTGGTCTACGATTCGGACACGATGATGTAGGCCGGTACACTCGTCATATCACCCGCCCATCATGGTTATCCCGGGTTTTTCCTGATGAGTCAATAGAGAAGCCGAACTTACACGTCGACGACCTGAAGAAATTGTTTAATAAGAAAGATGGTTTTACTCGGATGAATAACGTCGATGTTGTCCGAGTATGCCTTCTAGTACTTTTGTATGCCGGCTTTTTAGGCAGAGAGGCCAGACAACCTATTCCTTAGGAGCTAATATTATTGGTAGAGGACCTAACTGCATGGAATCTGTTTCTGTGGGGTTCGTATATATGGAAAGCTACCTGGACTAAGTTGTCGTCTGCCTTTGATGACTGCAAAAGTTTGCGTGGCGATGGGTCGAAATACACTTTGTCAGGCTTTGTTTGGGCCTTTAAGTTAAGAATTTCTATATAATGTTTTCAAAATTATAATTAATTATTTAACAATTACTAATGTTTGTTATTATATTGTTTGTAGATTTGGATATTCGAGGCTTTCCCCAGCATGCGGACATATGCATTAAAAACTTCAAATGATATTCCTAGGGTTATTTCCTGGAAGAGGAAACGTCTGTTGGATTGGGAAGACTTAATACCATATGCGACAATAAATAATGTAAGTTAACACAAATACTATCATATATAAACAAGTTATTAATAGTAGACGTTTAACTTTGTTTGAGTTTTTATATTTTTAGGAGGCCAACACTCCATTACAGAGACTGACACCCACGGAGGCTGAGCTTGCCACTGATTGGTGGCAAGCTAGTCAGCGTTTTTTTGATGGCACGAATGATGAGCAGCCTCCACTTCGAGAGCCATCACCTCACCCAGAGCCAT